TTCGAGTGCCGTGCTGTCACAGCTCATAGCAACCTCAAACTTTTGGGCTTAAGTGATTTTCTTGCCTCAGCCTCCCAAGTAGCTGGGACTACAGGCGCCCGCCACAACGCCCGGCCATTTTTTGGTTGCAGCCATCATTGTTGTTTGGTGGGCCTAGGCTGGGGATTCGAACCCGCCACCTTAGGTGTATGTGGCTGGTGCCTTAGCCGCTTGAGCCACAGGCACCAAGCCCCAACCTCCTCTTCTTAGCTGCTTTTCCACAGCTTGCTCCCTCCTCATTTCTAGTGGATGTTTGTGATATGCATCATCTTAGCTCCAGTTATCACAGATAAGCAGATCCTTCCTCATAGGCAGGATCAAATCCCAGATGACCTCTCTTAGGACTATCTAGGAGCTGATCTAGGGGTTTAAATGGCTTCTCCATCCCCAAGATTTCAAGGTGCTGCACGTGTAAGTTGGGGATGTTTATTCCCTAGAATAAATGATTTTCTTTCAGAGAAGTTATCTCACCATAGATCTTACTAAATGGCCTGCTAGTATGCCTATGTTGATTGCTTTAAAATAGAGGATGCCTGAGCTAAGACAGAGAACATCCTTTTCTTACTTACAATGATCCAGAGGCAGTTTGGAACTTTACTAAAGATCCTCAGAGATGATGACTGGTAAAAGAGTCAATGTGTGCTTGTTTTCAACTGTCTCATTGAAGACATCTCCTGAAAAGTAGCTACTGCAGCCAACAGTAATAACATGACAACTATGTTCTATTTCATAAATCTTAATACACATTTTTTAAACATTTACTATCTCTGTAATCAGGATGCATCTTTCAATCAGTGGCAGCTTAGCATTTTATCATGGTGTAATTGGCACTGTATTTTTTTTAGTGGCTCATAAACTATCAGTGTGTTGAATAATCAATGAGCAATCTAGGAATATTTGTTAAAATATAGTAGTTGTGTATATTTTAAAATTAGTCAAATAATCAGAGTTTTAGAGCCAGAAGATAGTTCACAGAGTCATTTATTTCAGTAACTCTTTTTTATTGAAAAATTACAAGCTTTTCTGTATAATAATACCGTAAAATGGGCAGCACCTGTGGCTCAGGGAGTAGGGCACTGGCCCCATATGCTGAGGGTGGCGGGTTCCAACCCGGCCCATGCCAAACTGCAACAAAAAAATAGCTGAGCATTGTGGTGGATGCCTGTAGTCCTAGCTACTCAGAAGGCTGAGGCAAGAGAATTGGCTAAGCCCAGGAGTTGGAGGTTGCTATGAGCTGTGACACCACAGTACTCTACCAAGGGTGACAAACTGAGACTCTGTCTCTAAAAATTAAAAAAAAATAATATAATAAACTATGTAACAGTGTCATATATGGTCCCCAATGATTATTCATCACCTGAGCTCTACACTCCTATTTCCTATTGTCACGAGTTTGTTAGTTTAGGAACAATTGCCTATTCCGAGCAAATCAAAACCAAGTTTTTCAGGTTAGTAGCTGGGCTTAGAATCAAAAAATATATAGAAGCATCTATAGTCTGTTTTGTGTTATTAAGTATTCTAAGTAAAGCATTTAAAAAGAATTCATCTTAGGGCTAGGCGCAGTGGCTCATGCCTATAATCCAAGCACTTGGGAGGCTGAGGTGGGTGGATTGCCTGAGCTTATGGGTTCAAGACTACCCTAAGCAAGAAGCGAGACCCCCCAGTCTCTAAAAAATAGCTGGGCTTTGTGGCAGGTGCCTGTAGTCCCAGCTACTTGGGAGGCTGAGGTAAGAGAATCGCTTGAGCCCAAGATTTTGAGGTTGCTGTGAGCTATGACGCCAGGACACTTTACCAAAGGCGACAAAGCAAAACTCTGTCTCAAAAAAAATTCATTTTTAACAAGTTTAGTGTAATGAAAAAGGGAAGAGGTGAGCTCTAAATGAAAAGATTCTTAAGAGATAAAACATTCTGATGTATTGTAGACTTTGTTTAGATTCTGATTAAAATAAACCAGTGTAAAAGACAGTTTGAGACAATTAAGGAAGTCTGAATATAGACTGGTGGGTTTTATTATTGTTAAGTGTGATAATGACATTTTGATTATGTTCATATGTTGTACATAGATGCTTATTGAAGTACCTATAGGTGAGATAATAGGATATCTGAGATTGCTTTATAGTATTTAAGCAAAGTAAAACAAAAGAAGCCTTTTTTTGTTTGTTTTTTTAAAGGAGACTGGGTCTTACTGTGTTGCCCAGGCTGGAGTGCACTGGTACAATCATAGCTCACTGCAGCCTCAGTCTCCTGAAAAAGCAGTCCTCCTATCTTAGCTTCCTGGGTAACTAGTAGGCATGCACCATTATGCCTGGCTAAATTTTTTTTAGAGACACAGTCTCATTATGTTGCCCAGGCTGGTCTTGAACTCTAGCCTGGGCCTCCCAAAGGGCTGAGCCACCTCATACAGCCAAAAGAAGGCATATTTGAAGCAGCTATGACAAAGTTTTAAAAACTCAAGTCTGGGGGATGGGGGTTGATTTTATTATATATTTTGTTATGTTCAAAATAATTTTTCAAAAAGGAATTTAAGGAGACAGATTATGGGTAGCAGGAAGCGAAAGCGTACTAAGTAAGAGGGCAAAAAGTCATTCTATATATTCTTCTTAACTGAGTTTGATGCCAGCAAAGCTCAACTGCAAATTCAGAGGCTCGGAAATGTTACACTAACACACAAAAGATGAACCATTGAGAAGACTAAGTGGCAGAAGATGGGAATTAGTCATTAATGAACTAATCATTAAGAGGCCTGGTGGCGAGCTGTGTTTGCTTGGTGAGGACTGGGGGCTGGATTTTTAATGAATGCTATGACTTAAAGAATAATACCACTGGGCTGGATTGTTAGAGTAGAACATGTTTACGTTTTTGATGTTTTAACTTTTTTGCATAGTTTATAATTGTTATTACTGTTATTATGGTGAAGGTAATGATGCCAAGTCTGTAAGCAAACAGTACTCTCTGAAAGTAACAAAACTAGAGCATGACGCAGAACAGGCGAAAGTGGAACTAACTGAAACACAAAAGCAGCTACAGGAGCTGGAAAACAAAGATCTTTCGGATGCTGCTTTGAAGGTAAAATTACAGAAAGAATTCCGTAAAAAGATGGATGCAGCAAAGCTGAAAGTCCAGGTAATTTTTAAAATCGAATTGGGAAAACTTATTTAAGCTTTCTTGCTTTGGGGGCTTCTGGTACTAAGTTAGGAAAGAAGTGGGATTCAGTTTTTACCAGCCCAGCAAGAGAAAATGAGTGGCAGCTTCTCTTGTCCAGTATGCTGGTTGTTTTACATATTTTATAATCTTTTCTATCTGTGGAATAATTGTAAAGTTTTATAATTTTTTTAGTTCAAATTTTTCATTCAAAAAGTGTACTATTTTAATCTTCATGTCAGAAACCATATGGTAAGAAATAAAAAAAATTAGAAATAGTGTCCTTTTCTGAAGGACAGAGAATTAAAATGATACATATAAAACATCTGGTAATGATATGGCACTTTGTAGACATTCAACAAATGGGAACTATTTCAGACAATTTTCTGAAACTATAACTGATTAGGTTAAGAAAGGTTAATAAGGTTGATTACTACAACTCCTCCTTAATTTCTTTTTTCTTTTTTTTTTTTTTGAGATAGAGCCTCAAGCTATCCCCCTGGGTAGAGTGCCATGGCATCACAGCTCACAGCAACCTCCAACTCCTGGGCTCAAGCGAGTCTCCTGCCTCTGCCTCCCAAGTAGCTGGGACCACAGGCGCCCGCCACAACGCCCGGCTATTTTTTGGTTGCAGCCGTCATTGTTTTGGCGGGTCCGGGCTGGGGATTCGAACCCGCCACCTTAGGTGTACGTGGCTGGCGCCTTAGCCGGTTGAGCTATAGGCGCTGAGCCTCCTTAATTTCTTAATGGCTGGATTTAGCCATAACTTCAAAAATAGCTACAGTTAAAAATTCTATTCTATGAGAAATGTTTTGTTACCGAGAGATTGTGTAACGAGGCCATTTCCAGATATTTTGGAGATAGATGCTGTGCTTTGTCAGTCTGATCGTTATGAATTTTCTAGAAAGCTTTTTCAGTTCTTTTCATCTCATGCTCTCTTGTTTCCATATTGTAGAAACGTCTGTTGTCTTCAGTATAGGTAGAGTTGAGAGTTGAGTTGTAGTTAACCTATTCAGAGGTGTTTTGGTTTTGGAACTGTAGCATCATTACTTTCTTTCCAAACAGATAAATGTTTGCTTTATATACATCCAGTGTGCCAGGTCCTATTCTTGGTGGAGATGCAGAGTTGAACAGGCCAAAAAGCCCCTTCTTAGGGTTTTAATGCCATCTCAAGTATCTGAATATTTCCACTAAAAGTTATGTAAATAGCCTCTTTAGTCTACACCAAGTTAACATGACTTGAGTATTTGAACTGCTTAAAGGAGAACATGGATGGTGGTTGTTTATGCCATGCCTTCCATTTTTCTTCAGAATACTCACTTCTACTTATACACTTACCCTCTGAGCAGCTTGAGGTCAATAATTTTTTACTTCTTGACCCTTTAAATTAGTGCTGGGATGTCTAACAGATATTCATTTTAATAAACCATTAGTAGAATAAAACAAGATTTTTCCTTTGTATTTTTTGTGACATTTTATTGATAATTTAATAGGTGTATATCCTGGCTTCAGTTCTGATTGTCATTTTTATACTTAATAACTCAAATCATTGTTTTTATGAGGAAGTTTCATATATTTATCACGTACATCTGTAGTTCAATCCTTGTTTATGGATTTAACAAAGGTTATTTTTGTATTTCCTCACATCTCATACAACTAAAATAGTTGAGATTAAAAGATTAAGCATCATTATTATAATAGAGTTCGTGAATTATCATGTCTTTCCATAATTTCCATGTTACCTGCTACATGGCCTTTCCTGCTAACAGTACTGATAAGAAAGGGAAAAGAAGAAACATCTCATACAGCAGAGGATGGAAACAAGACATATAGTTTTAGAAATTTCTGGCTCGGTGCCTGTGGCTCAAGCAGCTAAGGCACCAGCCACATACACCTAAGGTGGCGGGTTCGAATCCCCAGCCCG